CGCGATATTTTTTAATATTAATAATTACTATTTAATTTAAATACTTAATAGCAGCTATAAATCTAATTTATCTCATTAATTTGCTACATTTTGGATTGTTTGAATAATGTATAGTTTGGTATCTCTGTGGCAAAGACATGCCAGGGATAGGAAGCACTGGAATCAGCTGGGCATTTGTGCCACAAAGGCAAGCTGTACAAGAGGACAGCTGTGCAACAAAATCTTTTTAAAGAACTTTTTTTTTATATACATATATATTTTGTAAACTTTCTCTTGTTATAGTTGTAATAAAGGCTTTGAATTGAAAATTGGTAAGTAAATGTTGGGTTTTTGATTCGATGTTTTTATATGAATAAGACTAAACAACTAGTTTTCAATAATTACATCGTTTCTATGTTAGGAAATTAGCTCCAGCTGAGTTTCATCATCGGATGTCGAGGCAGAATATGAAATTCCAACCGTATCACCTCGACGTCCGTCGTCCCACAACTAAGCGTTTTTAAGGCAGTTTTTGCCGCGCACCACCTCTATGAGGAACCAGCTGCCCACTGAAGAATTTTCGAACTAATCCGACTTACCTTCATGAAAAAAAACGTACCAATTCTTATAAGGCTTGCAACGTACTCACTTAACATCAGATGAGCCTTCTGTCCGTTCTATAAAAAAGCCATTATTGAAAATTTTTGATTCGCTTTCTCCACTGCTGTATCCTACTCCTTATAAGCCGGATTAAGTTATAAATAACCAGCAAGTGACAGCAACAAGCATTCGCCGAGCATATTGTTAGCTTTTATGAAATCTAGATCAGATCGCTGTTATAATTGGAATTACATACATAGTTGCATATACTATTAACCGTGCTTTGGAAAATAGTCCCCCGCTGCGTTGTCTTTAAATAAACTAAGTTAGTGGTGGAAATTTCTTATTTAGTTAATGTTAAGGTCAGCCAATAGATTTACACCTATTTAAACAGACTTTGCACTATTGAACCTGAGAAGTATGCGACTCTTATCCCTTAGGTCGTTGGTTCGATCCCCGGCTGTGCATCATTTTAATTCAACATATTGTTAATTCGCAAGAATTTGACCGGGATACCTAGAAGCTGAGTATAAGCCGTCATTTTGGATATATGTGATAAATGGTGGGATTAAAAGTGCAGACACTGCTGGGCCAAAATTCATATTCAAACCTTGTATTTGTTCAGTATACTATTAGATCCCCGTCTTAATTTATTTATGTATCACAACTATCTTAATAGTTAAACACCTTAAAAGAACATTAAAGTAAAACTAAATAATATAATTACAATAATATATTAAAATAATTACATTAGACTCATAAAACAATTTATGTAACGTAACATTTTCGTAGAACAATAATTGTTGTCGATAATTCCCTCTGCGAACATATTTTTGTACGAAACTGGTTGCAAACTTAGTTTCGCCGTATTATGTTTTTACTTACCTCTATCTGCAATTACTACATACCCACATATAGCTATGCTACCCCATAGAGACTGTTCCCTTTTGCGAAATTAAGTAAGTATGATGTAAAACCAAACTTTTCATTGTTTTTGCCAATTATTCTTTCCATAAAAACGCACCGCAAAGTTTGTTAATTACAAAAAAAAAACTCGATTGTTTTTTTAATGTAATAGGAGGCAAACGGGCAGGAGGCTTACCTGATGTTAAGTGATACCGCCGCCCTTGGACACTTAAATTGCCAGAAGGCTCGCAAGTGCGTTGCCGGCCTTTCAAGAATTGGTACGCTCTTTTCTTGAAGGATCCTAAGTCGAATTGGTTCGAAAATACTTCAGTGGGCAGCTGGTTCCACATAGTGGTGGTGCGCGGCAAACACTGCCTCATAGTACGAGATCCGGCTGCAGGATTAGTGCGCTCATCTGTTATTGGCTAAAAACCAAATTTTTATGTATATTTATAATTAGGGGAATGTATATCTACCAAGTTGCCTTAAAAATTTGGCCGCTAGTATTTTTAATGAAATTATTTTGATTGATTTTTGGGAAAACATTTCGTTCACTTTTTTTAAATTTTAATAAAATAAAGTAAAATTTTAATAAATAATAATTTAAATAAAATATCGTCTACATCGCGGCAATTTAAATAAAGATTTTAAAAAATCACGGGTGCCGTTGCCCACCTAGCCGTACTTCTTCAGGTGTAAACAGGTATGATTTCGATACATTTATACGTCTTACTCCACGGTTAACAAGTGGGATATACAAGGCAACCGTGAATGATGAAGACGGGTCATACATACATACCTGGACCAATCCAGGAGGGATTACAGAAGGGACAAGTTAAGAGTACCCATAATCGACGAGCATGCATGGTAAATGTCATGAAAGTGGATGAAGCGAGAGAGGCATGTCCGGACCTTCCCAAGAATTTAAAAAAAAATAATATTACATAAATAAATTTTCTCCTTTAAAAATCTTTTCTCGTATTTAAATTCGTAAGGACAGTCACATGTCTCTTGAGGTATTAACTCTCGGCGGACATAATATATTGCAACTACCATTCGTAGATAATTTGATTGTGGTCTTCTGATAAAGTGTTTGGTACAAAGTATAGCGATTTATTTACAATGGACGAACATTTAGAAGTAAGAATAAATCAATAGCTATGCAATATATAAATATGAGCTAAAGTGAGAGAGAGAGAGAGTACGTTGAAGGAAAACTTCGTGAGGAAACCGGCATGCCTTAAACCTCAAAAGTCTGCGGCGTGTGTGAGGCACAGAAGGCTGATACACTTACGTATTAGAAACAAATGATCAGATACAGTGAATTTGAGGCCCAGACTTAAAAGGTTGTAGCGCCACTGGTTATTATATAATAAATAGCCTTTATTTACATATTATTGTAATGTTATAACTGTAATTGCGTTATTAAATAACATATTGTTTTGAATGAAACGTCCTAAACTGCAAATTCGTTTGCCATTAATGAAGCTCTCTCAGTTTTTAGATTTAAGTTCGTGCCTTGTAGATAGTACCGTTGACCGTAGTTTCCTGCTTTTTACTTGGACCAAAATATCTAGATAGTGTTAAAAGGTATTTAGCTTAGACTGTAGTCTAGTCTAAAATCAAGATTATTATCTAGGCTGTAAAGTAAAGCCAATTTGTTGTTTAAGATAATATAAAATTTAATACTGTTTAGAAAGCGCTTTCTCCTTATAGCTTCTATATATATTCTATGTCGCGAACATCTACTTTGATATTACGTGTATGTTTTTATTTGGTGATTACGTCAACAGTAATTATTTACTTTTTTACACATATTACCCACACATTGTCTATGCATGAAAACGATATGCATTTTCGAGGATTCCTACAGAAAAATAAAACGTTTACGTACTATTATTTTTAGAGCTTTGCTTACTTTTGCTGACAAGAGGAGAGGAGAGGGGGGGATAAATTGCAGTTAATCTGCTTACGTAATACTTGAACGGCCCCTGACCACTTTTAGCCTAGCTTTTCGTTTGAATTCCTGCGGTTAATTTTTTTATTATAAACTTTGTAAGCTATAAAATCAAACTAAATACATACATGATACACGTCCCATATATAAAGCGGTATTTCCCCCCTACAACGCGGAGATTTCTCAGGTTATATTTCTGTAGTGTGAAATTTATAATGATTAGTCAAGTCCATAATTAGTTTTGCGTACCTTTGAATCTGTTTCAATTGTGTTTTTATTAAATTAAACTAAATCATTTAATTAAATTCATGTTCCTGGTTTTGAATTTAAAAAAAAACGCTTTTACAAGAGTACTCGTACAATGCGATTTCGTATAACGCGGTCCGGGTCTACCGCGTTATAGGGGGATTACAGTACTTCCACTTCCATCGTTCCACAACTGAGCGTCTTTTAAGGCAGTTTTGCCGCGCTGATACCCATTGAAGTATATCCGAACCAATTCGACATAGAGTCCTTCCAGAAAAGAGCGTACCGATTCTTAATAGGCCGGCAACGCACTTGCCTTCTGGCAATGTGAATGTCTGAAATCAATTAACATCAGGTGAGCCTCCTGCCTGTTTGCCCCATGTTATATAAAATAAATAGTATATGAAAGCTGGGTATTCATTATTATTGACTACCTGTCTGTGCGGCTGTTCCATTTAGTAAGATGCTATTGGGAGCTGTGACTGTAGCAAAATAAAAATATATTAATTTAACTAATAACAACATTAGTTGAAATGTACTCGGCGAATTCAAAAAACAATAATTCAAAATTCTAACGGTAAAGGAAATAGACAACTCCAAACTCTGACATATAATGATAATAAAATAATAATGTGTCCAGCCCGAGCTGAGCTGTAAAGGCCCTTAAGGCCAACAGCGAGATAACATAAAAATATGTACCTAGTGGGAGGGCTACAATCCCGTTTGGTCTTGGTCTCAGATCGCATCCATTTTTTTGATAATTTTTATTTCATAGATAAGTCCGCCTTGTCTGACAAATCTCGTCGATTTTTGGATTTGAGATTTGCCGATTTCCTTACAATGTTTTCCTTCAGCGTACGAGTGTTAGATGTGCACATACAGTTAGACGGGGATCGAACCTAAGACCGTAGGGTTGTGAGTCGCACGCTAAAGCCACTAGGCCAATAAGCGATGACATAATTACTGCTTAATATTAAACGTTTTATAATAATAATCATTTTTATAAGTTATTCAGGTAACGTATATGGTTGGTGTACATAAAAATATTGTATAATATCTTGTCCATAGATGGCGTTATAAGTCTTTTAAAACGCGCAAACGTTTTACTCGGATCGAAACTATATATCAGCCTCCTGCTTTTATACCCAAACAAACAAACTCTCAAATAATACTAGCTATGCCCGCGACTTTGTTTGCGAATTTTTGAATACCTCTTGGACGTTTGTTCTTTCGAGGTTAATTCACTTATTGATCTAATTCGGCAATAAAAATTAAAAAAAGTTTGGAAAGCAAGTGAAAGGCCTTATGGAATATGGCTTGTAAGTTATAAGTTATAACTTATTGTTAAGTGTTAACTGTTAACCTATACAGTTATACACTATATAATATATATAGTTGTTACAAATATTAACTTTATTTTATTGTATCACGACTTAAGTTCGGTGGCTGTTGTTGGAGGGATGTTCTTTTGTATGTTAAATGAAACTCTTTGTTTGAAGCTAGGTGTATACTGTCTACTGGCTTAAATTGTTTAAAACATGAGCTTATAACTAACATAAAAATAGGGGTTGCGACGCTGGATTATCAAAAAAACTGACTAGCGTTTTTTGGTTTCTTAAATGTAAGTGACACATCTGTTACCTACAAAGAATATAAATGTAGTCGACCTATTGGACATTATCGGAAACGAGAATGTTATGTTACAATTTATAAGTGTATGAAAAACTAAAGGGCTCATTTTGGCTTCAAGTGTAAGGTGATTTGCGCTTCTAATTATTAACTAAAATAGATATGTGTAACTTATCTAATGTTAGGTTACATAATTCACGTCACATTTCTTTTCATTTAAGTTGAACAAATATCTTTAGTAAATTTGCTTGAAATCAAATTAATTGTCTGTTTTACAATCTTTATTCTGTGTGCAAGCATCCTATACTCTGTGGCTTTACCAACTGTTTTATAGTCTGTGACTGACTAACCGGAGTAATATAAAAATCAAATAAAATGGCGCGCTATTTATTACATCATTTTATTCACGTGTGAGTAAAATTATGTATATTTTAAATACTGCTTCTAGGACTTGCAGAGTTTTGAAAAACACTTTGAAAAATTAATTTCGCAGATCTCTGTAATTAATGAAATCAGTAATGCCCTTTTTTGTGAAAATTTTTAATTATTACTAAATGAAACTTCAAATATGATTCAATCAGATCAGATTGTAAATTTTCATAAAAATCAAGAAACCTATATGATACATTTAAAAACTGTACATTATGTTGAATTGAACCAAAATTACATATAAATTTCCATCGGTTAATCCGCAATCCAACTTAATATGACAAAGCCGTTTGGCAGTAATAAATAATAGGAATTGACACAATAAATTCACAGCTTATAATAATTTAAATCAATTTCGACATAAAAAATTAGTTTTGTTAATTCTTCACCTTGACATAGTAAGAATAGGTTTACATTTATTTATTTTATTTATTCACACTTCGTTACATTTATACAAAAACAAATACATCAACATTATAAGTAATGCAACGGGCGTCCTTATCGCTAACAAGCGATCTCTTCCAGGCAACCCTAGTAAGGGAAAAAAAAAAAAAGAAATATGATTTTTTTTAATTTAATAAAAGATAAAGACCCTTAATCTAAAATAATACAAAAAAGTATTAATAAAGCAATCTAAAAACTAAAAACTAACTGTATGGATTCATGAATTGCGATGTTGCTTTTAATGAAGAGAGTCGCTCGCTGAAACCACTAGACGACCTGATTCATATAAATTTAATTAATCCCAATTAAATTGAAAGCAAATTTAAAACGTTTTAATTTTGGAGTTTCGGTCTAATGCAATATTCTAGAAAACTCTTAGAAATTGAAGTCATTTTCGTCATAACAAAATTTAGGACAGCTAATTGCGAAGTATTTAAAGTAACAGATATTACTGATAACCAAATTATAGTAAAAGCGTCTACATACGGCCCTAAAATCAGTAGCGATATCGGGACAATGGTGGTGGGGATGAAATCGGCTCGTAGTTTGAATCGGCAGTAGCATAATAAAATTAGGGTACGATTTGCCTTCACACGAGGCCGATCTACGGAGCGATCTATGGTGCTAATTTGAAATATATTTTTTAATTTCAGGCAACTACCCAACATCTTCAGAAGCCATAAAACTAGAACATTCTACGGAGTTAACTATTGAGTAAGTACGAAAGGCTTATGGTTCTTTTAACTTGAATGTTTTATCAAATCTATATTAATGACGCGAGAGGAGACAAAATATGTATATGAAATTACAAAAATCTATATTATTTCTGTCTTCGATTTGAGTTCTATAAATTACGAGACTAATAAAAACTTTTGTTAATAGGCTATTTGACAATATTAAAAAAAATATGAACACTAATTGCCAGAGGGCTCGCGAGTGCGTTGCCGGAACAGAATATTTTTTACTTGTTATAAAACCTATACGAATTGTTATTTTATTAAATACTGTCGGTAAAATTCAAATTAAACATTTCATTTCAAGAACCCACCCAATCTCTTCCGTAGTAAAAATGGCGTCGCACCAGTCCATATGATGTACCATGTCTATAAACAGTAAACACGTAAACAAAATTAATTTTTAACGTGTTAATTATTATTCTTAAATTACACGAAAACCCAGAGTATTATTTTTCGATAAAAAATTAAACTCCAAGACAGTATTAGATAAGCGAATTATAATAATTTAAAAGCGTGCTACGTTAATTCAACTAATCTGTGACAGTTTTGTGTCACGTGACTGACGTATCAAAATCAATATTTTAATTATGGGGTTGATAAATTAATTATGAGTTATTTCACTGTAACGCCATCTAAAGACGCGTTTTATACGGATTCCTCGATATTCTGTCAATTAGCCTATTATTTATGTGTGTTGTCTATTCTTTATAAAAAAAGATTTTACGGCTTATTAATGTAAAGTAGCGAAGTTTCACCAACCAAATTTATAAGCCGAGATGTAAACAAAAATATCAATTCATATATTTATTTTCCAGGTCAGACTTCGACGTACTGAGAAATAAATTAGGACCGAATTATCGAAGACCGAGGATATTAAAGCCACCGCCGCAACGGTAATTTCTATTCTGCTAATATATTTTTTTTATAGTTCTCTACTATATTTTTTATACAGGCAATATACTCACCTGATGTTAAGTGATACCTTCGCCCATGGACACTCAATGCCAGATGGCTCGCGAGTGCGTTGCCGGCCTCTAATTATAATTTTAATTATATTTAGGGTGACATTTCACTAAACACAGAAAATAAGAATTATATGAACATTGGTTTAATTTTTTAAATGGTAATCTGAACGTTTTTAGAAAGTAGTTCTTATGTTATGTTTTTGTATATAAATATAAAGCATTATATTATATTATATTATTAAATATAGCATTATATATATTAAGCATTAAAATAATTTGTTGATTATTTCAGATATAAACCCAACGAGCAGACTCAAACGCCACCTGAGCTGTCAATGTCAACATTCCCGCCAATATTCCCACCTACAGATAAAACAATTTCAAATATGGAACTTAAGAACTTTCTCAACACCGCGCTCCAGACAGCCTTGACAGATTCGTTGAACCAATTACAGGCTATCCCAAAAACAATAGAGCAAAGTGAAGTCAAAGACAGGCGCAGACTGCATAAATGCGATGTAGCTGGCTGCCAAAAGGTCTATACAAAGAGTTCGCATTTGAAGGCGCATAAACGTACGCATACTGGTAAGTTTGCTAAAATTCTATTTATAAAATATTCTATCGGGTTTCAATGCGATTTATTAGCTTATATATACTTTTTATTTGTTTTAATTAAAGCCCTCGTTTATCTCTTTCCGTCAAATTGTGTCTAGTCTGTGGAGGGGAGAGAAAAGTGTTGTTAAAACAGTATAATTAGACATTTATGATTTCTTAATATAAAAATCATAAATTTATTATTTTAATTATATGAGTTTTATGGGACTATACCAATTGCCCGTTTTCTCTAAAATACTCGTAAGTAGTATGCTTAAATGTATAAAAAAATAATATATATTTAAAATCACATCAATCATGTTACAACATAGAAATTCGAAAAAAAAATATGTGTATTGTAAATTTTGTAAATGTAAATATAGAATCAATTTAACATCTTTTCTGTTGACGTTCATAAGTGCACTTGGTTACCTATATGAATAAAGTTATTTTGAGTTTAAACTCAAGTATATAAAGGACTTTTTGGGAATTGTCAGTGACGTAATGTCATTCTATAACTAGGTTGTCAATGTCAATTAATAGTATTAGCAAATTGTGAACTGTATAGTTTTATTGCTTATTTAATCGTTTTTTTATTATTATTTAGTGATTATATTAGATTTGTTTGTCGTTTTTCCCTTTTTTTAATTGTTTATGTTTAGGTTACACATTTATTTTTTATCCACATTACATATTAACATCTAATTCCAGGTGAGAAACCCTACAGCTGTGGGTGGGCCGGGTGCGGCTGGCGCTTCGCACGCTCAGACGAATTGACCAGACATACACGTAAACATACCGGCCATAGACCGTTCAGATGCCCTCTTTGTACACGGGCTTTTGCACGCTCGGATCATCTTGGATTGCATATGCGTAGGCATTGATGATGCATATGCTGGAAGTATGCAAATTTTTGTGTGGGGAAGATAGAAAAAAGTATGCCGACATTTTTTATGGTATAAATCGAATAACAAGACATTTTTCAAACAAAAGATAGATATTTAAAAGGTATAAAGAAAAATCTATGAAACAAATGCAGCAAAAGCGTTTTTAATGTTCGCGACCACTTCTGAAATATTTCTACAGTATTTTTTCGTTATAAACTTGATATTAAAACTTTTGAAATAGAATGCACTATATACAAAAATAACGTTCTTTGAACAGGAATTTAGTTTTTTAATTAAAATACGTAAGGAAAAAATCTTTGAAACAAGGGAACATAAACAAATCTTATACTTACAATGACAATTATATTTCTGATCAGAAATTCATTAAAAATATCTAATCATTTTTGTTACTTAATTATATTATAACTATATTTTACAAAACACATTCAAAATCAATGACAGTTATTCTGTCTGCTGAGACTGAAGAGAAATTCATTAAAAATATATATTTTTACTAACTTATCAATTCTGAAGAGAACTTCAGAATTGATAAGATTATCATTTTTATTACTTAGTACAACTATATTTTGCAAAACATTCAAAATCAAATACAGATTGATAAAAGACTCACGGGGGTCTATCACTAATATAATTAAACGAAACAGCCTTTATGGGGCATTCTTATATACATTTAAGGGCCAGTAAATTTAAATGTGTGATAAATATATAGAATAAATATTCCTAGAATATGATGCTCAAAAATATGTTCCACTAAACAGGGCATTTGTGGCAATAAATAGTTATAGTTTATTAATATATAAATAAGTATACAAAATATATATAGTTGCATATATATAACTAATGGTTGCGTATAGAAATTGTTTCAACCACAGAAAATCTTATTTAATAAGAAAATTTAACGCCTGTTAAGTTTTAAATGTTTATTAGTATAAGTTTTAAGTTAGTTTATTTTTTCACGTACAACTTTTCTTAAAGTCTCAAAATAATCAATTTACAAGACAATGACAAATTTAAACTTTTTCGTTTAGACAGAAAAACGCACTGAATTTTGACGTTTTCTTTCTACCGTTAATTCGTAATTAAACTAAAGTTTTTTTAAGTAAGGGAATTCCGCTTTTCCTGGGCCTAGACAGCTTGGGATGTTTGGCGAGCTTGAAGAACGAAAATTTTAGTCTATACTCTGATTTTTAATTCCGTAGAATTCTGACAGCTTTAATTTTTTGACGTGTATAGTGTTTTTTGACGTGGATAGCAAACCTCTTTGGCCGGGCACATTTTTCAATTTCAATACGATTCTGAACATCTGAGTCTATATATACATTTTATTGTTAGTTAATGTATCAATTTTATTAAGTGCGGTGCTCCACATTAAAAGTGATTTAACGGCGAGTGGTAATTACGTTCCTTTTCATCACAAACAGTAAAAAACGCTCAAGTAAAGATAACAGTTAATTTTTTTAAAGGTTTACTAAACCTGGAATTAGTAGGCAGTGATGCCAGCTAAAAAATAAATTAAAGTTTATTCGATATATTGTTCGTGATAATGAAATATTTGTTATTTTCGTATTAGGTCACTTGAGTAAGTAAATATTCAGATTTACCTTTTTGTAGGTAAAACATAATAAATACTTAGCATTTTTTTTATTGCCCTCAAATAAGTCAAATTTGTCCCTTTTTCGGTGGCGATTTTTTTTAGTAGCAACACTTGTGAAATGTCAGAATTCTACGGAATTAAAAATCAGAGTATACGTCAGAAGGTTTAGTTTTTCGTATGGAAAATTGTATCCTTATTACCCACTTATGTTTAGCCCATGGATATTCATAGTGTCAGAAGGCTTGAGAATGCTTTGGCGGCCTATAAAGAACACTGTTTTCTTGAAGGACCCTGAGTCCTAAGTTATGTTTTTCTTATTTACTTTAAAAAAAGTTGTACATTAGTATTAATATAGATAAGTAATGGGTAAAGTGGGGGCCAGTATTTTTGTTAGTATATTAGTAGATAAAAACGCCTATAATAACTATTTTTACGGAAATAAACTCACACATATAGTATAATTAGTGCAGAACTGTAAACAAGTTCATATATGTATATATTCATAGTCATCTATAGAATTTAATAGTAACTCCTTTCATAGATTATAGATGACCACACAGTATTTGACGTAAAAACAGCGAGTGTAAATTTGTTTTAAAAATCAAAATTCAGTAAGGGAGCGTTCAAGTATTATAACATCCTTTATATGTTATTAAAACTTTTCTTTGTTTTTTAGTTTTTCTTTAGCCGTTTCCCAAATTTCGTTGGCATTTTTTGGCACAATTGTTCTGGCAAGTTAATATGACAGCTTTTATATGCCATGAACAGCTGATGATGGAGTTCCTCCGCTTTCGAGGGCATTACGGTATTTCCTCAATCTTTAACAACACTGACAACAGCAATATGCTTCTGTGTAAACTCTAATAAAATAAAAATCACGTACACAAAGTCGAGGGATTCCCCAAAACATAAGCTTAGGAAAGCACAAATAAAAGTAACGTGCAATAGCAATGAAGGGATTCCACGTACAACATAAACGAAAAGGGTTGCCAATTAATCCCCCAGTTTTATTATTAAAATAAAAAATGTTACGTAACGCGTTATATAAATAACCCCCCTCCCACCCATATAACGCACTGTAACGTTTCAATAGACTCCCCCCCCCCCAAATTGCGTTACGTAATACTTGAACGCTCCCTAAATGTTAAATCCTGAACACAATACAAATTTAAACATTGCTAGGAGTTAGCTAAGCCTAAATGATATTTTAAACCTCCTAAAGTGATTATAAAAATGTTTATACAGACATTATCTACATGAGCTATATATTGGCTTATACTTACAAAAATGATTTAATTTTTGATCTCAATTCGGTATACCTTCTCTAAAACGATCTCGGACAGATAAAGTATTAATTTATCTAAATTTCTATGTGATTTAAATTCTTATTGATAAGTTTAAATATAGTTTTTAATAAGTTAAGTATAAATAGTTATTTCGAGCATTTTGCCGGCCAGTAATGTTGTAAGTTTTTTGTACCTTTTCTAGTGTAATTTTTTAAATGCAAGGCATTAATATATGTACTTAGCGGAGAGTTATTTTTTTAATTAATTGTTACAACCCAGACAATATTGTAATTAAATTACAGTACTTAATTGAAATAGTATTTTTTTTTTGCTTAAAAATAGATAAGTTTTATTTTTCGTTTATTTGAAAATAAGTATTGGAATGTTTTTTGAACGTCTGGGTTTGTATTTCTTGCTTCTTGCGTGAGATTTTTTTTTGTATGTCACTCCAATAGCGTAAGTGAAGTTGTCTATACTTTAAGTTTAAGTTTTTCACAATGCTCAATGTTCTCGCTGTAAACGGTGCTGTTGCCTTAATTAAAACGAATTATATTTTAAAATGGTTATTTGTTTTATTATACCCCTACAATCCTACATATCGGAAACTATATATCTATCTATCCTACTTGCGGAAAAGTAAAGTGTAATATATAGGCAAAATCTAACTGACGTTGATTATATTACTGTAATATCTACCATTAATAGTTTGTAAAGTACTTCAAGGTTACTCGAGCAAGTTTCCAGGCTATTAAGAGGCTTATGTCGCTAAGCGGAAGTTTTAGACCTGGACGCTTGTGTTCGGTATCCGATATTCCACCTGAAGACCGAATGGTCGGGTCTTCTGCATATCTATCACATGCTCAGTGATATTTTACCGTAAGGTCGAACACGTATGTCCTGGTAGGTGAAATGCCAAACCCTCCAAACTATGCCGGAAGAAACGCGAAATAATTACCGGAATAAAACATTTTCGGTTAGTTGTTACTAAGTTGGAGTTGGTAACTTGAGTTTAATAGATTATTTGGAATACAGAATATACATTTGTTCTCTATTTTGTGACTGACAGCAATAATATAGATCCAATTCTATGGTGATATCTTTGGTTATATTTCTACCCCTTGTACAAAAAAATACCTCTTGTCACCAGCTGTCAAATAAGCATTAAAAGAAATTCAAAGTGCAACAATGTGAGCTGATACTTAGAAATAGCAAAAAAAATATGTAAAAATAAGAAAAACAGGATGGCGTAAGTATTAATTATTTAGTTACTTCACCCCAATGGGACGTGTCCATTTCATTGATTTCTTCTTCATAGTGATCGCTTTTTATTACGTGACTATCGAGATATATCTTGCCAATAGCCGTCATAGTCTGTACAACCCGAATTATTTTTCATCGAGAAATAAACTGTTTTAGTTGCGAGGTGTGCGAACATTGCAACTCTTCTATAAACGGACGTGCCGCTATTTATCAAGGCTGTAGTTATCACGACAAATGCAGGAAATGCTGTAAGTCTAAATTTTCATACTCAATGGTTTCGGTGCGAACTGTCAATCTTAAATAATGTATTACAAAATTCGCGGTTAAATTTATAATTGAAATCCGGTTCGATCACATAAATTATAAATAGACATAGACAAATCCATTGTGCCAATGTGTAGGTATTTTTCAAGTATCTGATACGCCGAACATATCCGTTTCATTTAGATGTCTGCAGTGAAACCGATCTGCATGGTGCAGAGGTGTTTAGAGGTGTCATATTTTGCTCTAGCTGCTCAAAGAGGATATTTCAAGGTATTCATCATTTAGTATGATTAAAAATTTCCAAAAACTGTTTTTTTTTATTCCATATAGTAATTTGAACTATATACAACGTGTTACCTATTAAGTAAATACAAATTACTTGTGCCAGGGACCCAGCTCTTCTGTAACTTATGTATTGTAATAAATACTTGTTTGAATTTAATATTAAATAGAAAATTAAGTTAAATCCCCATAACCCCCTTTCGGTAAAAAGAGTATCTACCCTTAACGAAGATTGTTTTAGTCCACCATACGGTTGTCACAACCCACCAGAAGTGGTGAATAAATAAAAA